AGTAGGTATAGGTAAGAACTTTCTCAACAAACCCCAGCAGCACAGCAACTAAGAGATAGCATAGATAAATGGGACCTCATAAAACTAAAAAGCTTCTGTTCATCAAAAGAAATGGTCTCTAAACTGAAGAGAACACCCACAGAGTGGGAGAAAATATTTGCCAACTATACATCAGACAAAGGACTGATAACCAGAATATATAGGGAACTTAAAAAACTAAATTCTCCCAAAACTAATGAACCAATAAAGAAATGGGCAAGTGAACTAAACAGAACTTTCTCAAAAGAAGAAATTCAAATGGCCAAAAAACACATGAAAAAATGCTCACCATCTCTAGCAATAAAGGAAATGCAAATTAAAACCACACTAAGATTCCACCTCACCCCTGTTAGAATAGCCATCATCAGCAACACCACCAACAACAGGTGTTGGCGAGGATGGGGAAAAAGGAACCCTCTTACACTGTTGGTGGGAATGTAAACTAGTACAACCACTCTGGAAAAAAATTTGGAGGCTACTTAAAAAGCTAGACATTGATCTACCATTTGATCCAGCAATACCACTCTTGGGGATATACCCAAAAGACTGTGACACAGGTTACTCCAGAGGCACCTGCACACCCATGTTTATTGCGGCACTATTCACAATAGCCAAGTTATGGAAACAGCCAAGATGCCCCACCACTGACGAATGGATTAAGAAAATGTGGTATCTATACACAATGGAATTTTATGCAGCCATGAAGAAGAACGAAATGTTATCATTCACTGGTCAATGGATGGAACTGGAGAACATCATTCTGAGTGAGGTTAGCCTGGCCCAAAAGACCAAAAATCGTATGTTCTCTCTCATATGTGGACATTAGATCAAGGGCAAACACAATGGGATTGGACTTTGAGCACATGATAAAAGCGAGAGCACACAAGGGAGGGGTGAGGATAGGTAAGACACCTAAAAAATTAGCTGGCATTTGTTGCCCTTAACGCAGAGAAACTAAAGCAGATACCTTAAAAGCAACTGAGGCCAATAGGAAAAGGGGACCAGGAACTAGAGAAAAGGTTAGATCAAAAAGAATTAACCTAGAAGGTAACACACATGCACAGGAAATTAATGTGAGTCAACTGCTTTTATAGCTATCCTTATCTCAACCAGCAAAAACCCTTGTTCCTTCCTATTATGGCTTATACTCTCTCTACAACAAAATTAGAAATAAGGGCAAAATAGTTTCTGCTGGGTATTGAGGGGGTGGGGGGGAGAGGGAGGGGGCGGAGTGGGTGGTAAGGGAGGGGGTGGGGGCAGGGGGGAGAAATGACCCAAGCCTTGTATGCACATATGAATAATAAAAGAAAAAAAAAAAAAGAACCTCCCTTTTTCCCATTCCCCTTTCCCTCCCACGCCCATTCCCCTTTCCCTCCCACGAGTATGACCATTTAAGTGTGTCTACAGAATACTAAATAACTACACAATACCAAAAAAAAAATCAAAAGATCCAACAAAATATTATTGAAAGAAATTAAAGAATATCTAAATAAACAGAAAGACATCCCATGTTCACATCTTAGATTTTTTTTTCTAGAATGGTGATACTACTCAAATTAATCTAGATTCAATGTAACTCCTATCAAAATTTCATCAGGCCTCTTTTTTTTTTTTTGCACAAACAAAAGAGCTTATCTTTTTATGAAACTGCAAAGGATCCTGACAAAAGAATATTGAAAAAGAACAAAAAGGAGGACTCACATTTGATACCAAAACTTACAAAGCTACAGCAATCAAATAGTTTAATATTGGAATAAGGATGGACATACAAACCAATGAGATAGAACTGCAAGTCTATAAATAAACCCATACAAGTAGGTCAAGTAATTTTCAACAAGGATACTAAGACCATTCAATAAGGAAAGAACAGTCTTTAAATGATGTTAGGAAAAATGAGTATCTACATGCAAAAAAATGAAGTTAGACCCTAAACTCACACTAAAAATGAAAACTCAAAATGGATTAATGACCTAATATAAAGCAAAACCATAAAACCACTAGAAGAAAACAAGAGAGTAAATCTTCATGACCTTGGATCTGGCAGTGGATTCTTAGGTATGATACCAAAAACATGAGTAACAAAGAAAAAGTAGGTAAGTTGGACTTTGAAATCTTTTGTTCATGAAAGGACAAAGAAAGAAGGTAAAAAGACTGCCTATTGAATGGGAGGAAATATTTGCACAGCATACAGTTGAGTCTATATCCACAACATAAAAAAACTCTTATAATCAACAAGAAAGAGACAACCTAATTAAAAGTGGGCATATGAACTGGGTGCTGGTGGCTCATGCCTATAATCCTAGCTACACAGGAGGCAGAGATCAGGAGGATTACAGTTTCAAGCCAGCTCAGGCAAATAGCTCTATCTTGAAAATACCCAACACAAAACAGGGCTGTTGGAGTGGGTCAAGCGGTTGAATGCCTGCCTAGCAAGCATGAGGTCCTGAGTTCAAACCCCAGTACCGCCAGAAAGAAAAAAAGTCGTATGCTTTGAAAAGTCATTTCTCCAAAGAAGATATTCGAATGGCCAACAGGCATATGAAAAAAATCATTGTTATGAAAATGAAAATCAAAACAGCAAGACAGATGCCACTTCATACCTGCAAAGATGACTGTAATAGAAAACAGTTCATAAGCAGTGTGGTTATGAACTTATGAGGACTGGAGAAACTGGAGCTCCAACTGTACCTGACGTATAAAGTGGTTTGACTGCTCTGGTAAACAGTTTAGTGGTTCCTCATCAATTTAAACAGAATTACCGTGTGACCCAGTGTTATACCCTTAGGTGTGTATTAAAAATAATCGCAACGCAGTAGAGGGCAAACATTTCTAAGTGCGTGAATGCTCTCATCAGTGCTCTTGCAGTTTCTAAAGGTAGTAAAAAAAAGTAGAAACATGGGGTAGGGCGTAGCTCAGCGGGAGAGTGCTTGCTTAGCATGCACAAAGCCTTGGGTTTGAGCCCCAGTGTTGCAAAATAAACAAGTGAACAGAAAGCAGAAACAGCTCAAATATCCATCCACTGATGAGAGAATAAACAAACTGTGATTTACATATGTGACTCAGCTGTTAGATGAACCTTGACAACATGGTAGATATAAACGATCTTGTATGAGTCCATCTATATGGAATATCCAGAATATTTAAATCTATAGAGAGACAGATTAGTGGCTGTCTGGAAGAAAGGGTGAAGGGTACAGAGTTTTATTTTGGGGTAATAAAAACGTTTGGTAGATCACCACTCTTGAGGATATACCCAAAAGACTGTGACACAGGTTACTCCAGAGGCACCTGCACACCCATGTTTATTGTGGCATTATTCACAATAGCCAAGTTATGGAAACAGCCAAGATGCCCCACCACTGACGAATGGATTAAGAAAATGTGGTATTTATACACAATGGAATTTTATGCAGCCATGAAGAAGAACAAAATGTTATCATTCACTGGTAAATGGATGGAATTGGAGAACATCATTCTGAGTGAGGTTAGCCTGGCCCAAAAGACCAAAAATCGTATGTTCTCCCTCATATGTGGACATTAGATCAAGGGCTTGGACTTTGATCACATGATAAAAGCGAGAGCACACAAGGGAGGGGTGAGGATAGGTAAGACACCCAAAAAACTAGATAGCATTTGTTGCCCTCAACACAGAGAAACTAATGCAGATACTTTAAAGTGACAGAGGCCAATAGGAGAAGGGGACCAGGACCTAGAGAAAAGGTTAGTTCGAGAAGAATTAACCTAGAAGGTAACACACACGCACAGGAAATTAATGCTCGTCAACTCCCTGTATAGCTGTTCTTAACTAGCAAACCCTTGGTCCTTCCTATTATTGCTTATACTCTCTCTTCAACAAAATTAGACATAAGGGCAAAATAGTTTCTGCCTGGAAGTGAAGGGGTTGGGGGGAGAGGAAGGGGGTGGAGTGGTTAAGGGAGGGGGCAGAGGGAAGGGGGAAGAAATGACTCAAACATTGTATGCACATATGAATAAAAAAAAAGTTTGGTAGATCGATGTAGGTGTGTAACATAGTGAATGTACTGTTCATTATGGCCACTGCATTGTTTGTATTAAAATGGTTATTTGTTTTATTATGTAAATGTCACCTTAATTTATTTTAGGTGGGTAAAAGAAAAAGAAGGAATAAGCAAGAACACGAGATCTTTGAGTAGGCAGGTGGCACTAGAATCAGATGGAAGGGAACTGATGAAATTCTTCTTCATACGTGGTATGTTTTCAAACATCATTTTTGAAGCACTCCAAAGAAAATCTGATGACAATGATGGCTACATTATTGGAATATGAATAGCAAAATGATAATAATAGCAATTGAGATTTATTTATGTGCCAGGCATTTTTGTTAAAAGATTTATATAAATTATTTCACTTAAGCCTAACACTATGGGATAGATTTCACTACTTCCTTTTACAGACTAGGAAATAAGGGAAAACATACAACTATTTGATTCTGGGTGAATCAAACCCAGATTTTCATGCTTTGAAAGCCTATGTTCAAGTCAGGTATGGTGATGCACACCTGTTATCTCAGCTACATGGGAGCCTGGGTGACACAGTGAGAGTGCTATAGCATTTGTCATTATGTGTTGTAATTATAATTGCCTAGTGATTGTATCTCCATCTTACTTGAAATCCTGTCAGATGTATGAAGAATAAAGCCTGTGGGTCTGGTTCAACAATTGTATTTTCCTTTAAATACAGTCTTTCTCACATTTATGTCTCCTCCTCAACGAGTATATAGTATCTGACAAGACTACGACTCAGTAAATACTTGTCAACATTTATTTAGTGCTTATATGCAAATGTGAGCTGGATATAATGGGAGAAACAAGGCATTACTGGGTCAGACAAAAAGAATCAGGGACTCTGCCTTCAGGGAACTTCTTTTCTGATTACATAAGCTAAAGATTAAATCATCAATGACGATAAAGTGTATTCCTTACCATTTCAGTAGTCATCACTTTTGCTACAATATGTGTTATAGTCTTTCCAAAATCTCTTTTTCCTTTCCTACGTCTCAGAATCCTTGGAAAGAATGGTCCATGAACTCTATAGTTGAAAATATTTGTCATTAAATTAACATGGAAAAAGACTCGATCTAGCTTTACTTAGTAAATAAAAATTTGGTACGAAGCAACTTCGAGAAACAGCTTTGTTAACCAAGCTCTCTGAGAGCAGTGAGCAACTTGAGAGCAATATAATATTAAGAAATTTTGGGTTCTCTGCAGCACTTTGATCAGTGCTGCATGCTGAAGGGATACAGTTTTACTACCAGGATTTTTGAGCTTATAACGATTATTTAAATTGCTTTTAACAACTTATGGTACAAGTAATCAAAATTTGAATTTCTTTTTCCAAAGGAACAGTTACATTAAACATTTCAAACTCAAGCCATTCAGCATTATTCCTAGTTCAGCCAGTGGTTTTGATCTTGAGACATGGAGAACCTGTCATATATTTTTTCACCATATACCAAACTATCTGTTCCAAGGTAAAGCATCCCAAACATCTAAGAAATCACAATGGCTTGTCACGCTATCCTCATTTCATAATCAAAAGTATACTATCTGCTTTTAAAAAAATTATATTGCAGTATAATTTACATACAGGATACTCATTTTAAGTGAACTGTTTCCATGGGGTTTAACTCAATTGTAACATCACACTGATAAATTCCCTCATTCACCTCTGCAGCCAGTCCTCCAGTCCCACTCCAGGTAAACACTGACCTGCTTTCTGTCATCACACATTTACACATTCCATCATTTACACGTTCTTAGATCTTCTGGCAGTACTGGGGTTTGAACTCAGCCTCATGTTTGCTAGGCAGGCACTCTCACTGCTTGAGCCATTCCACCAACCCCTTTTTTGTTTTGTCATGGGTTTTTTTGAGATAGGGTCTTGAACTATTCGCCTGAGATTGGCTTTGACCCACGATCCTCCTGATTTCTGCCTCCTGAGTAGCTAGAGTTACAGGTTTGAGCCACTGGTGCCTGGCTTCATTCTTAGAATTATTTAAATGACTATCTTTTTAGAGCAGTTTAAGATTCACAGAAAAACTGAATAAAAGGTACATAGTTCCTACACACACATACCCCCTCATCCCCACAAATCCAACCTCTCCACTATCAACATCCAGCACTAGAGTGGAGCACGTGTTATAATTAATGAACTGAAACATCACTATCACCCCAGATCCATGATTTACATTAGGGTTTCTCTTGGTATCGTTCATTCCTGGGGTTCAGACAAATGTATACTGACATATAGCCATCATTACCATTGTAGTGTCACACAGAGTATGTCACTATTGTAAAAACTCTGTATATGTTTCTAATCATCCCTCCCTCCCCACTGAGCCCCCAGCAACCCTGAGCTTGTGACAACCTTCATAGACTTGCCTCTTCCAGAATGTCACAGTCTTGGACTCATATAGTATGGAGCCTTTTCAGACTGGCTTCTTCCACTTAGCAATATGCATTTAAGTTTCTTCCACGTCTTTTCATAGCTCGACAGTCTCTTCTTTCTCATGCTGAATAATAACTACTCAAGTGTCTGGTTTAGTTTCATTCACCCACTGAAGGACATCTTGGTTGCTTCCAGGTTTGGGTTAATTATGAATAAGGCTGTTGCCATTAAAGTTCTCATGTAGGTTTTTGTGTAGACATTAATTTTAACTCGTGTGAGTAAATACCAAGGAACATGATTGCTGAATTGTTTGCTTTTGGGTGTTGGGGCTCTAGCTCAGTGGCAGAACACTTGCCTAGCAAGTGTGAGGCCTTGGTTTGGTCCTCAACACCAAAAAACCCCCTCATTTTGTAAGAAACTTAACAGTTTCAAAGTGATTATATACCATTTTGCATTCCCACCAGCAGTGAACCAGAATTTCTCTTGCTCTATACCTTTCTTGGAATTTTTAAATAGAATTTTTTTTGGTTTTTTTTTGGGTAAGACTAGTGTTTGAACCCAGGACTTCATGCTTGCAAACAGGTGCTCTACTGCATGAGCACCATTTTGCTTCAGTCCAGTTTGCCCTTTTTTTTTTTTTTTTTGAGAATGGGGTCACGTGAATGATTTTCCTGGGCTGGCCTTGAAACTTGATCCTCCAGATCTCAGCCTCCCAAGGAGGTGGGACTACAAGGGTGAGCCACTGGCATCCAGCTAAATGGAATTTTAAAGTATAGTATTTTTTCACTTAGCTTGTTTTCGAGATTCATCTATGTTATTGTGCATATCAAAAATTTTTTCTTTATATTGTGGAATAATAATTTCATTATAGGATTTCCTTTATACTACAGATGACATTGTGTCATCTATAAATAGAGATCATTTAACCTCCTCTGTTCCAAGCTGGAGGCATTCTATTTTGTTTTCTTGCATAATTGATGTGGCTAGAACCGCTAGTACAATTTGAAAAGAAGTGGCAGGAGTGGACATCCTTGTTCCTGGACTGCAGGGGGAAACAGAGTTTGAGGTTGACTGGGTTTTTTGAAAGTAATCTGAAGGAAGTTGATGAAAATACCTTCCATTTCAAGTTTTTGAAAGTTTTTGTCATGAAGGTTGTCAAAATATCTCATGTTCTCTTCTGAAGGCTGCTTGCCTAGCTCAAACTGTGGACTTTCCCTTGAGGTACAGCAGCTGACATCTCAGTTCAATTCTCTCAGCTTCCAGTTCCTCCTTGGTAAGCATGGTTCCCTGATTCCGTCTCCTCTTCCCCACTTCCCAGTGCCAGCCAAGGATCTAGGTAAGCTTCTGCTCACATTTTGGACCTAACCCACTTTTGCAGCTCTCTTGCTTTCAGATTACCGTCCCTAAACTTACAGCCACTCAACCGACCCTAAACTCCATTCTTTGTCACTTTGATACAATAAGACTATCTTTTGACGAGGGCAGGTGGCTCATACCTCTAATCCTAGCTACTCAGGAGGCAGAGATCAGGAGGACTGGAGTTTGAAGTCAGCCCGGGCAAATAGTTCGAGAGACCCTATCTGGAAAATACCCATCACAAAAAAGGGCTGGCAGAGTGGCTCAAAGTGAAGGCCCTGAGTTCAAGCCCCAGTACTGCAAATAAATAAATAAATAAATACTATCTCTTGCTGCCAGAGCTAAGAGGATTTGATACCACACTCAGATCGGAAAGCCATGGATTCTCATTTCTTACCCATTCAAAGGATAAACCAATTTCAAGGATAAACTTTTTTCATTGTTGCCTTGGTCACTTTACAGTTCCTTCAAAGAGTCTGATGATTTTAGTGTATTTTATCCAGATTTCATAATTGCTATCTGGTGGCAGGGTATGATAAATCACTTATTCCACTATTCATGGAACTAGACTATCTGTGACTGTAACTTTTAAGAAAAGAGGACTCTTACCCATGCCATCTAAAATCAAGTGATGATAACTTGTATTCAAATTCAACTTGTGCTAAATTTATAGATTTCTAGATCAGTGGATATAACAATCTTATTTATATCAGTTTCCCAAGGTAATTCCAGTCTACCACAGGAATCCAAGTGTCAATGAAATGTCAAAAATAGGCACAAGAATGGGATTCTTAGTGATTACAAAAAGGTCAAATTTTGGAGAAAAATACAAAAACAAAAGATTTAGGCTAACAACTAATCACTAGGCAAGTAAAAAGTGGCTCTGAATTGTAAAGACCAACACATGGAGAAAGATGGAACACAAAGAAGGTTTATACAATTTGCTATGGAGTAGGCAAAGTCCTTTGGCTCCATTAGAGACTTTCCAGCAATTCTGGGGCCACGAGCAAGAATTCCATTTCTCCATATGTAAAACATAAAGGGCAGAAATACATACTTCCTTCACTGCAGAGTAGTGTAAGAAGGTTTTAATACATTTTAAGTATTCTGAGGAATGGTGCTGATTAAGTCTACATTGCTTTGTTTACAATATGAGCCGGGCACCAGTGGCTCATGCTTATAATTCTACCTACTCAGGAGGCAGAGATCACGAGGATCAAGGATTGAAGCCAGCCCAGGCAACTAGCAGCTAGAAAATACCCAACCAAAAAAAAAAGAAAATACCAACCACAAAAGCAGGTTGGCAGAGTAGCTCAAGTGGTGGAGTTCAAGCCAAAACAACAACAACAACAACAACAAAATCAGAAACAAGTTGTGTTAGAAAAGTTGAAATTATGAGGCAGCCAAATTAATCATTCTCTCTCACTTCGCATATGTGTAGAAGACATCCACCTCTTCCTTTTTCTTATGCGTTAGCCAGAATAAAAAAGGTAGAGATGAAAGATAAGGAGAGGGCTGATTTGATGAGAATTTTTTTTTTTGTCAAAAATGATTTCAGTAAAAATAAAAAAAGAAAAAAAAATGATTTCAGTGAATTTGGCTAACGTAATTTTCCAACACAAGTTGTACCTTGTGCTGAACTCCTGAGACATCCAACTTTACCACGTATTTTATTCGTGCCAGTGTGACAAGTGCTACCCTAAAAGAACAGCCACGTAATCTTTCGCTACCATTTGAAATAGAGCAGCTCGGTACCTGAGGCGCAAATCTTCCCACGTTTTCAGCAGTCCACAAAGCATCACTATCTCATAGTATTTCTTCCAGCATTCCACAGCCTCCGCAGCAGACGGGTCCTCCTTGATGTTGCTCTGATACTCAACGAGATCAACCCGCTTGCTTTTGTACTTTTCCAACGTTTTCTTAAAACGCTGTGCGATAGGACCAGGTATGGTCCCGTCCTGCATATCACACCACCTGAAAAGAATTACTGCTCTCTTTACTGTCTCTCTTTACACTGTGCTCAATGATTTTCTAAACTATACTTACAAATTAATTCTTTCTTCAATCAGGGCAGTATAATTGTCACAGCTCTCCTCATCATCCCAATCTCTCCAAAGAAAATCATAAAAAAACCTACAAAAAACCGAATTAGGAAAAATGATCAAAAACAGCCACTACCAAGTTTAGAATTTTAAAAAATTCTGATGTCAAAATTCTCCACATGAACCTTCATTCTTTTTTGAGACAGGATCTCCCTGTTTAGCCGAGGCTGGCCTTGAACTCGAGATCCTCCTGCTTCCTGCCTCAGCCTCCCAAAAGCTGGGATTACAGATGTGCATCACCACAACTGGCTTGTATCTTAATTCTTTTTTTTTTTCAAGGTTTAGGAAGGATTTATTTTAATATAACAAGACAAAGTATAGGTAAGGGGGAGAAGAGAAAAAGAGAGAGAAACATTTCCTGTTCCCCATGGAGGAAATGGGAGTAAAGCCTCCTTGAATCTTCATTCTTAACTTTTTTTTCTTTTGTAGTACTGTGGTTTGAACTCAGGGCCTACATCTTGAGTCACTCTGCCAGCCCTTTTTTGTGATGAGTTTTTTGCAGATAGGGTCTAGTGAACTGTTTTGCCCAGGCTGGCTTCTAATTGCAATTCTCCTGATTTCCTGAGTAGCTAGGATTACAGGCGTGAGCCACAGGCTCAAGAAAAATATTTTTAAATAGCCTACAAGTGAACTAATAATGAAGTAAAACTTTAAATTTTCTTTTTGGTGGTACTGACATTTGAATTGAGGTCTTTGTGCTTGGTAGGCAGGCACTCTACTACTTGAGTCCCACTTCCAGCCCAAGTACAAATTTAAATATTAGATGATCTGCCAGTCCTGGGCAAAGATAAGGAAGACTGCAGTTTAAAGCCAGCCCAGGCAAATACTTCATGAGAGCCTATACAAAAATACCCAATACAAAAAAGGGCTGGCAGAGTGGTTCAAGAGGTAGAGCATCTGCCTAGCAAGTATGAAAAGCCCTGAGATCAAACCTCAGCACCACCACCAAAAAAAAGAAATTTTTAAAATCTAGCAGTAACAAATCAATAAATATTTATGAAGTGCTTATACATTAAATGAACTGTTGGATATGGTAATTTCAACTTTGAGAAGAAAGCCTGATTACCTTACAACTTCCAAGGCCAGAGCAATGTCCCCTATGGCTGCATCTTGTCCTTCCACAGGGTACACTTCCAGGAGAGGTACACTGTGCTCCAGTTCCTCCAAAATCTCATTCACCAAACTCCTTGGGATGTTTGCAATGTTAGAAGAAAAGGGCTCAGCCACAGAAACAGTGACTTTGAAGCAAGATGATGGGTTCTGGGGTGGTCTACAAGTCACCTATGACAAACATGAGATCAGTGATTTTGTAATGTTCACATGAATGCATGTGAACTGCAGCATTTCTTTCTCATATATAAGCTTTAAAATCTTCTATAAGTTTCCTAACAGTCAGTATATAGAATTGTGGATACACATTAAATATCAACAGTCTCTCAAATTCTACTTCTTTAAAAACATTAGTTCTTTTTGTGGGTAGAAGGAGGTTTCTTTATTTTTTTTTAATTAAAAAAAATTATCATATTATAGTTGTACTGAGGGTACATTGTAACATTTATAAAAGTTCTTACAATGTATCATAGTTAAATTCATCCCCTCTATCATTCTCCTTTATCCACTCTTCCCCCCACAAAAATATTAATTTTTTTGCTTAAGTTTCATGATATTGTCTATATTACATCACTTGTAAAAGAAAGGCCATTGAAATACAAAAAAAAAAGGCATAAAAAGTCCTTAGGTGGCTGTGGAGTGACTCAAGTGGTAGAGCACCTGCCTAGCAAGCATGAGGCCTTGAGTTCAAATCCCAGCACCACAAACAAAAACGAAGTCCCTAGGTTAAATAAATGTAGCTTCACAAACAATATGCTGCAGTGTATTAATTCATCGTATTTCAACACGATATAAAGATGCCTCTAGCACCTGGAACTCTGTGCTGGAGATGTCACTATATTGTGGTGAAATAAAATAGATAACTGTATTTAGTGAGTGTCACACCAGCAATGTATGTGATAATGGTGATTTAAATGTAGGAAGCAACTTCAAATCATTACCCAAACTTGGAGATACACATTGTATAATCAATTTAATGTAATTATATTCTTCAAAGCAGTTGTGGGGCAGAAAACGTAAAAGTGGATATTTGAAGATAATGGTGTACAATCCGTATCTGTGACAGGAAAAAAATATTCCAAAAAAGTAGTTATAAAATTTGATATTGAGCCTTATACTTTAATTTTTAGTTTTGATTTTAATTCAGTACTGTACGTGCATCCAACTTACAATCAATTAAGTAGCTATACTGTGAAAAAATGGAATTCCTTATTTATTTTTTGTTTTATCTTTGTCACTCATATTATTTGTACATCTTTATGGGGTAAGGTGTACAAATGTGTAATAATCAAATCAAGAAATCAGGGTAATGAGTATTTTCATCTCTTAGTTCTGTTCCTCTGAAGAACCCTAACACACCCCTCCAATCTCCCTTTCTCCCTCTCTCTCTCTCTGATGAACCCTGACTGATAAACTCCTCATCCCCCCCTTCTCTCTCTCTCTCTCTCTCTCTCCTCACTCCCCTCCCTTCCTCCTTCCAACTCTGGAACATTTATTTAACTTGGTTTCCCTTTTTTTTCCCTCTCCATTTCTTAGTCTTTTAGCTCTATTGTATGGGAGTTTACTCAACTTTACATCTCAGTGTTTCTAATCTTATGGATTAGTCTATCATATTTTTATTTTTATTTTGGTGAGATTGGGGCTTGAACTCAAGGCTTCACAATTATAAAGTAAGTACTTGCAAAGCAAGTGCTCTAGTGCTTCAGTCCATTTTGCTCTGCCTATTTTGAAGATGGGGTCTCGTAACGATCCTCCCATTCTCAGTCACCCAAATAGCTGGGAATACAGGTGTGAGCCACCAGTGTCCAGCTAGCTGCAGACTAGCTAGACTAGATTTCCAGAAGTTCTCTTTCTTTCTGGAAGCATTCTCAATCATATAGTTTCCAACTCATAGTGGGTTTCGTTTGTTTGGTTTTTGCTTTTTGGTTTTTCAAGGCTGGGGATTAAACCCAGGGCCTTGCACATGGTTAGGCAGGTGCTCTACCACTAGGCACCTTGTTTTGTTCTTTTGAAACAGGTTCTCACTATGTAGCCCAGGCTGTCTTCCAACTTGTGATTTTCCTGCTTCTACCTCTCCGGTGCTGAGATTATAGACCTGCACCACCATGACCAGCTCCAGTTCTTGTGGATGCTTTCATTATCTTACTTTTTTTGACCATACTGGGATTTGAACTCAGGGCCTCACACTTGCTAGGCAGGCCTCTGAAGTCACTCCACCAGCACGACCCCCCCTTTTTGAGACTATTAGTAAATTTTTAAATGTATATTTTTTCATTTCCCTACCTATATTTCTTCCAAACATCTACTTTTATATTGGGTTTTACCAACATAAAAGTTTCCTCAAATATTTCACAGCCCAAATATGTCTGTTCATATTTAAGAGTGGAACACTAACAAGGTGATTAGAAGGTGTGTGTATATGGGAAAAGCAGATCCACTCTAGGCTTCCCTGTAGGATGTCTGCCCAGGCTCTCCTGTGAGAACTCCATAATCAGTATCTTCAAGTATTTTCTTTTCATTTGATCATACAAAAACCTTCCACGAATCTCACACCTAGACAATAGGCCTTAACTACCTGTGTTCTAGCAGATTTGGGGTAGAAGGTAGAGAACCCCAATATTCAATACCAGTAAACTTTCACTTAATTCCCTTTTTCTTGGCAGGGTACCCTTAGCCAAGCTTCTCAACTTGTTTTTTATTTTTTCTTATAAGACTGGGGTTAGAACTCAGGGCTTTGCACCTGCTAAGCAGGCACTCTACTGCTTGAGCCACACACACCTCCACACTACTTCGCTCTGGTTATTTTTATTTATTTATTTATTTATTTATTTATTTATGGCAGTACTAGGGTTTGAACTCAGGGCCTCATGCTTGTTAGGCAGTTGCTCTACTACTTGAGCCATCCATCCCCCCTCTGGTTATGTTTAGACACGGTCTCTTGAACTGTTTGCCTGGGCTGGCCTTGACCCTGGATCCTCCTATCTCAGCCTCCCAAGTAGTCAGGATTACAGATGTGAGCCACCAGGGCCCAGCTTGATTTCTTAAATACATACAGATTTATGTGTTTTGCCCAATTGGGGAAACTTTCGGCTGCCATTTTTTTAGTTTTTCAGCCTCCCTCTCCCATGTCTTTCTCTTCTGGCACTCCGAAATCATGACTATCTTAGGTCATTTGTTATAGTACATCGTGTCCCTAATGTCTGTTCAATGTTTTTTAGTTTAATCGACATTTACTACCCTAGTTGAACAACCTCTACACACAATCAATACATATGGTTTCTTTTGAGACAAAGGAATTGAGTCTCAATGTTTTATGAGCCTGCTACAAATATTTTCTGGAAATGGGCAGGCCCTTTATTTTACCCTTATTTTATTTTTTGGCAGTACTGAGGTTTGAACTCAAGGCCTTCAACTTGATAGGCAGGTCCTCTACTACTCGAGCCATGCTCCCAGCCCAGCAAGCCCATTTAAAATCCCTGGTGGCTACTGCCAGACAGGAAGGCTCAAGTCGTTTCAGTTTATTTTCCTTCTCCAGTAGTTTCTGTTTTTTTCTTTTTTAGTTTCTATTTTTTCTATCTTTAAATTCATTGTTTTCTCTGTCTGTATTTTTGGTTTTTGCCTGTAACTGTTAGTATTTGCAGGTTGTTTCTCCTCTACTACTCAGTCTAGGACATAGGAAGCAAAAAGAAAGCACAGGAAACTTACCTTTTTGTCATTAATTGAGTCATAAGGTCCCTAGTCAACCTGTCATCTTTCCACCTGTCAGAGTATTCTTAAGTTTATTTTATATATAGAATCCACGGTATGGAGTTGTATTTAATGGGAGGAATAAGAAAAGCGTGTCTGGGACAGGGACGTAGCTCAAATGGTAGCGTACCTGCCTAGCAAGCATGAGGCTGAGTTCAAATGTCAGTACCAGGGGAAAAAAACTGAACCAAACCAAAACCAGAAAAAGAAAAAATATGTGTAGTCTTTCTTTATGGATGTCCTTATTTCTTAAATAGCCTTTCAAGCAGATCTTCCTTAGCTCTGAATTCAACACTGTTTCCAGTCTTTTTTTTTTTTTTGCAGCACTGGGGTTTGAACCCAGAGCCTCTCACTTGCTAAGTTTTGTGGTACTGGGGTTTGAACTCAGGGCCTTCACCTTGAGCCACTCCACTAGCCCTTTTTGTGTGAGGTATTTTCAAGATAGGGTCTCATGAATTATTTGCCCAGGCTGACTTCAAACTGCGATCCTCCTGATCTCTGCCTCCTGAGTAGCTAGGATTACAGGCGTGAGCCACTGGCACCCAGCTTCCTGAACCTTTTGGGTTATGCAATGTAAATCAGGATTTGTTTTGTTTTTGTTTTTTTTCTTTCCCTATTGCCAATTTAGAATTCTACTTTCTTAGCTCTATTAAGTCAGTTGCCAATTTATCAAATAGATAGGAAGTTATTGTAAAAACATTTTCAGCATACAAGATAAAAACAATTTTGTCTGCTTTGTATCCTTAACTCATGATGCCAGTAGAATAAAAACCTTGCCCAAAATGAGGTTATAAGTCAAGAGGAAGAAAAAAAAGAAGATAGGTATCAGAATTTTTCATCACTGTGACAAAATACCTGACAAACAGACTAAAGGAAGGTAAGACTCATTTTAGCTTACAGTTTCAGAAATTTCCAAGTCCATAGTCCTTGGCTTCATTAATCCTGGGCCCATGGTGAGGCAGAACATCATGGTGGTGGGAACAAGTGAAGGAGGAGGCTGTTCACCTCATCGTGGACAGGAAAGCCAGAAAGAGAGTGGGGACCAGGTATAACCTTCAAAGGCATGATCCCAGCGACCTACTTCCTACAACTAAGCCCCACCTGCTAATGTTTCCACAACCTCCCAAAATAGTGCCGCCACATGGGAACCAAGTATTAAACAGCAGAACCTGTAGGAGAGACTTCCGACTCGGATCTTAACAACAGAAAATCTGGGGAATATGTATTTGCAAAAGAGAATGGTGAAAGGAGCTCCCAAGATGATGATGAAGGGAGATCCCTTCCTCAGGAAGACAGCTATCCAGCAGGTCTAGAGATCCCCAATTTACACTGTAGATCACAGGATGCAAGGGGTACCACTTAGGAAGACAAATCTGATCCTTCTGACCATATTGAGAAGACTGATGTAATTAGGGGAAGATTCTGGGATAGACTAGTGAGAAAATACAGTGAAAAGTAAAGACAATGAAAAACAAAGTTATTGTTAAGTCTATACAAATGTCTTTAAATGTCTAGGAAATGAGAATCAATCACAGGATGATGCAAAGTTCATCTATGAAGTGTTTACATAGTCATAATAAGGTAAACTGTATCTAATCAAATCAAAAATCCTATGTAAATATTTTGGGAGGAGGGGAGCACATGGAAAATTTGGGTGTGAGGTTAGAACAGGGAATGGTAGTAGTGGAGTCTATAAAAGAACTAGATCCTGATTTTCTCAAGTGGGAGCCTATATGTACAATTTAAGATACTGAAATCAAGGAACACCAAAAAAGCACGATACTTGGGCCAGAGGTATGGCTCAAGCAATAGAGCGCCTGCCTAGCAAGTGCCCTGAGTTCAAACCCCAGCACCGCCAAAACAAATGTTACTTGGAGATAAGGAATTACTAGTATTATAATTAATTACTAGTTGAAATTGGCTGCATCTAAGAAATACAAGAAATGGCAACAGAGGGTAGCAGGATGTGAGCTGCTGTGGCTTTTCTTAAGTCTTCACTCTATAAACTATGTGCATTTTTAACTTTGATAACACTCAGAGAACTGACAACCAATGAGTAGGGTGCAAAGTAAGAAAGCTGACACATTTGATATATTTTGGAGGAATGCTTTACCATGAAGTAAAAGAGAAAAGGAAGTAGCTGGGAGGAAGAATTCCAAGTAGTCTGGTCTGTGTTTGGGGTGTGTGTGTTTGGTGTGTGTGTGTTTGGGGTGTGTGTGTTTTAGGATGTGTGTTTGGTGTGTGTATGTGTGTTTGGGGAGTGTGTGTGTTTGGTGTGTGTATGTGTGTTTAGTGTGTGTGTGTGTGTTCGGTGTGTATTTGGTGTGTGTGTGTTTGGGGTGTGTATGTGTGTTTGGGGTGTGTGTGTTTGGTGTGTGCATGTTTGAGGTGTGTGTGTGTTTGGGTGTGTGTGTGTTTGGTGTGTGTTTGGGGTGTGTTTAGTGTGTGTGTGTGTTTGGTGTGTGTGTGTGTTTGATGTGTGTGTGTGTTTGGGGTGTATGTGTGTTTGGTGTGTGTGTTTGGTGTGTGTGTGTGTGTTTGGGGTGTGTGTGTGTGTGTTGTGGTGTATTGTGTGTTTGGGGTGGTGTGTGTGGGTTGTGGGTGTGTGTATGTGTGTGTTTGGGGTGTGTATGTGTGTTTGGTGTGTGTATGTGTGTTTGGGTGTGTGTGTGTGTTTGGGGTGTGTGTGTGTTTGGTACGTGTATGTGTGTTTGGGGTGTGTTTAGTGTGTGTGTGTGTTTGGTGTGTGTGTGTGTGTTTGGTGTGTGTATGTGTTTGGGGTTTTGGTGTGTGTGTTTGGTGTGTGTATGTGTGTTTGGGGTGTGTGTGTGTGTTTGGTGTGTGTTTGGGGGTGTTGCACATGTGCATTGTGTTGCTGGGTATGGAAACCTGTGCCTCCCCAGCAGTAGGCAAGGGCTCTACCACTGAACCTTTCAAGTAGTTCTATCAGCTTCCAGTCCTTCAAATAGTTTAAAATATGAATTTAAATGCCTTGTAACTTATTTAGGAAGGAAGTTCTGACAAAATAGTAGACAAAAATAGCTGGCTGGAAGAGGCTTTAAAGCAGAAGAGTCTACTGCTGAAGCTGGGAGTGTGAAAATAACATCACGGACACAGCCGCAACCCAAAATGTGCTGTGAGAGCCCACAGTGCCAGTTCCCTTCCTAGAACCATGACACAGCAGAACCAGGAAAATAAGCAGTTTTCAGAATCCAGTAAGAGTTCCATTAACCATCTCCAAATTAAAACATCTCTAGAGCAAGAAATGTAAACAAAATTCTAAAGCATGACGACAAAAATTGGGAATGGGAGGATCGGTACCCATGCCAAAGCTAGCTCATGTTGACTAGTATACACTGCTTGTACAAAATTCTAACATCAACCATACTCCACTGCTAACCTTTTGCTTTTTTTCTAAGTCATTACAAGTTGGGATTTTTGTTGTTATTTGCTTTTTTTTTTGGAAGAACTGGGGCATGGACTCAGGGTTTTTCGCTTGTTAGGCAGGTCCTCTACTGCTTGAGCCACACCTCCAGACCTCTTGGCTCTGGTTATTATTTTTTTCTATAGCTATAGGTTTTATTTATTTATTTATTTATTTATCATATTATTACTGTGCTGGGGGTACATAATCAAATATTATGTTTTCAAGTTTGTTGCTGTTGTATGAATCTAAGGTGGGCAGAATAATGGTCCCCAAAGGTGTTCATGCCCTAATCGTTGGAAGCTCTGAATATGTCACCCTACATGGCAAAGAGGGCAGACATGACTAGAGCTTAGGACAGAGGTGAAGAGGTTTTCCTGGGGGCCCTGTGAGGCCCACTCTACACAGGACTCCTTTAGGAGGGGAGCATCTTTTCAGCCTGAAGACAACCAGGGAGAAGTGATATCAGAAGGACTTCGAAGATGGAGATGGCAGTCACAAGCCACAGAATACAAGCAGCTTCCAGAGGTTGCAAAACCAAGGAAACAGCTTCCTCCAGAGTCTGTGAGAGGTATGTAGCTCTGCCTAGACCTGGATTTTAGCCCAGTTAGGCCCATGTCATACCTCTGTCCTACAGATAATATATTCACATTGTTTAATCTACCAAGTTTGGGATAATTTGTTGTAGCAGGAACAGAAAAATAGGAAGAGAACTGGAGTTGGAGGTGTATCTCATTGATGAATGCTCACCTACCACCCACAAGGCCCTGGGTTCAATCCCCAGCACTGGAAAAAATAAATAGACCTTGTAGGGAATGTGACAGAATGGGTTCCATAGGACTCAACTATTGTGACCTCAGAATAAAGAGCATTTTATAACATTGCTGATACTTCAGTTCAAGTAAGATGACAGTAGGAGATACAGACAAAACAACTAAGTCTGAATCGTAGAGCACTTTTTTTTTTTCCTGCACTGGTATTTGAACTCAGGGCTTGATGCTTGCTAGGAGAGCACTCTACCATTTTGGGCCACTCCGCCAGCTGCAGCACTATCTTAAGAGGCCTAAAGAGCTATCTAGCCCCACTTGATTCACTGCCAAACATACAAAAGAGAATTAGAATCTGCCAATATGTTATTGTGCTTTTTTCTCTGTTCTCCTTTTTAGTCCTGTCTTTCTAATCTTTAAAGAATATTAGCAGCCAGGCATGGTGGCACACACTTGTAATTCCAGCACTCAGGAGGCTGAGGCAGTAAGATGGAGAGTTCGAGGTCAGCCTGGCTACGTAACAAGATCCGATATGAGAAAATAAAATACATAAAAGGTATTAAATAACTCCTAGAATATTATGAAGTAATATATGTGATCTTGCATGTTATTTTTGAGAAAGGCAGAGACAGAATAAATAATCAATGTATTGCAGGTACAACCTTCAAATTTGATGGACGTTATAGGTAATCTAATCTCGTTGGGTGTCCATGGAACTTTAGAGATACAGAAAAGTTTATGAGAGTGTGAGGCTCTCATGGGGTGCTGAAAGAGTTCCTAAGTAATTGCTAGGATGTCATCTCTCAATCAGAAATAGTCCGTCTTTTGTTTTGTTGTTTGTTTTTCAAGACAGGGTCTTGCTGGCCTCGAACTTACTATGGAGCTCAGGCTGGCCTCAAACTTAAGACTCTCTTCCCTTTGCCTCCCAATTCCTGGGATGACAGGCATATACCACATGTCCTGCTTTAATCTGTTGTATTGTTAAGCTTCCACACAAAACTCTATTAGAAAACATCCTCAAATTTACACTGCTAAAAATTGTTAAAGTCATCAATCTAATCCAACTCCTATTTTATCCATGTGGAAAAAGTCCAGGAAAGTTATAAGTGATCCAGACAAAAGTTGCTCACTCTCTGAAGATGAGGAAATCTTCTAGAAACACTAGCGTATTATTGAAAATTTAACTAATAGCAAGATTCTTTCACATTTTTTGCAACCTCTGACTAAAAATATATTATTCTTTATCTGCAAAACCACCACTAACTTACTTTTTCATAGAACAGATATTTCTGAATCATTTTCAAGTAGACTGTAAAATAATGAGTTTCAAGATGTTTCTTGTGACCACAACTACAGATCTGAAATCTCAATCTGGGGCAGGTTGTGATTATAAATATTAATTTTTAATAAAAGATAACTGACTTGTAAGGCAATCAAACTTATGACATTAGCCTATATACCTAACCCAGCAAAATCTCAGATGAAGGCTTGGAAGTTGATTATTATATTAAAAGGATGCTTTCCAAAGGAAAAAATTTCAAATTTTGTCAATAGCCTTCTGATCCATTTTTCTTTCCTCACCTGAACTAACTAAACTCATAATTCATATACAAGAAGATAAAAAAGAAAATGACAACCCAAGTTTATTAAAGCTTAAGTTACTAATTTTTCAAGAAACACATCTTTGTTATTTTTACACTATTTGAGCAATTGAAACTAGGCTAATAAATGTTGTCCAATGCTTCTGGATTCCATTTAATTATACTTGATAGCAAGTATCTGTGTGTTAATATTCACCCTTATCTATTTATATGATTCATTTTTGTAGAAACTTAAAACAGAAGTGAACTTTTGTCTATTTGATACTTAAATAAGTATCAAAGACCCAAGTTGGTAAAGTCATATTTCCATCTTTAAAAAAACTGATAATTTCATTCTAAGAACAAAGATGAAGTAAAATTTATTTACCTCAACTAGTATACCAACAAAAGGAATAGAAGCCTCTTCATATTTCACAAAGAATAACTCAGGGTTAGTCTTCCAGACACCAAGCCACTTGTCTTTCAACTGTAACTTCTCTGATAGGTACTTACTCATGGCCTCATCAGCATCTTCTGCCTAATAGAAGAAAGGAAAAATACAAATGGATTAGCATTTTCATTTACTAGTTTATGCTGCGTGCCGGAGGTTCACACCTATAATCCTAGCAACACAGGAGGCAGAGATCAGGAAGACTGATGTTCAATGCCAGCCCGGTGGATAGTTCACGAGACTCTATCAAAAAAATACTTTGGTATTTTGGACTGGTAGAGTGGCTCAAGTGGTAGAGTGCCAACCTAGCAATCACGAGGCCATGAGTTCAAACCCCAGTACCACAAAAAAAAAAAAAGACTCATTTATAACAAATATCTTATTGACTTCTATTTTAAAATAGAATCAATATCACCTTAAATAGTGAAAAATTTAAGATTCTAACTGAAACTATATTTAATGGAAAATATCACAAACATTAAAAAATAAATGTAAGGACTAGCAGAGTGGCTCAAGTGGTAGGGCATCTCCCTAGCAAGCATGAGGCCCTGAGTTCAATCCCCTATATTCCCCAGAAAAATAATAAATTTAAGAAATTTGTTTTGCACAATTGAGTAATTCACAGATGAGGTATCTATGCACTACTTGTGTCTTCAAGTAATTTATTAATCCACCGAGCAGAAGAAATATAATTACATACATTAAAAGCATAGCCATTATCAGCAGGGCACGCACGTGGCTCGTACATGTAATCCAAGCAGAGGACTTGCGAGTTCAGGGACACCTGGGCTATAAGCGAGACCATGTCTTAAAACAAAACAAGCAAGCAAAACAACAACAACAAAAAAAACTTGAGAGTTCAGGGACAGCCTTGGCTATAAGCGAGACCATGTCTTCAAACAAAACAAGCAAGCAAAACAACAAAAAAACATAGTGATTATTTTTATAAACCTTAAAGATGAGTTGATGTATTTAAAACATTCAGTACAGAGAAATTTAAAACAGTACTGCATTTTATAAAACAAATACTCATATCAAGCATTCAATAGATATTTGCCCAACTTGCTTTAATTTAGATTCGGCTACCTAAAGAATGATAAATAATCTAAGCTATTATGAAACTCAGTTATTTGACCCTGCCTGATTACTGACACAATAATTTAAATAAATGTTTTTCCACTGACTTTTCCAGGCCAGGCCTTCTCCAGTCTTCAATATCTGATATAAATTGATCATCAATACACTCCTAGTTTTATGGTAATGGTATTTTTAAAAATAAAATTTTCACCAGGCACCTGTGGCTTACGCCTGTAATCCTAGCTACTCAGGAGGCAGAGATCAGGAGGATCAAAGTTCAAAGCCAGCCCAGGCAAATAGTTCATGAGACGCTGTCTCGAAAAAACTCATCACAAAAAAGGGATGGTGGAGTGGCTCGAGGTGTAGGCCTTGAGTTCAAACCCCAATACCACAAAAATAAATAAGTAAAATTTCTTCCAATTACAAAATATGGCAAACCTGAAAAAATACAGGCGATATAAAGAAAAACAATCACTCATGATCCTGGCAGCCAAAGAGAACCATTGTTTACATTTTGCTGTGTTTCATTTTAGTATTTTCCCCATGCATATAACCACCCATTCATCCCACTCATGTTTCACTTCATCTCCTATTTTTTTTTTCTGTTTTTACTTAAGTATAGCATAAAAGATCTATAGTTTTGAAACATGATTGTTACAGCTGCATGGTTTTCCACTTTATGATGTCACTATAAGTTCTTTATTGCACCTGGTGTTGGAAATGTACTTTCTAATTTTTACTTTTTTGTGGCACTTGGAATTGAACCTAGGGTCTTGCACATGCTATGCAAGTACAGTACCACTGAGTTATATCCCAGTCCTTTTTAAGTTTTTGGTGGTACTGGGAATTGAACTCAGGGCCTCTCACTTGCTAGGAAAGAGCTCTATCACTTGAGCCATGCCTTAGTCCCTACTTTTTCATTTGAGACCCAGGCTGGCCTTGAACTTTCAATCCTCCTGCCTCAGCCTTCCCTGTGCTGGGAATACAGGCAGTGAGTCTTCATTGCCTGACCAGGTCAATTTTTATAAATGTTACTGCAGTGAAAATACCTGTACACAAATTCTGTTACAACTTAAAAAAAAAAAAGACTAAAAACATACAGTGATTTGCTCTGTTTCCTGTTAACAAGTGTTTTCTATAAAAAACATCCTTCCACATCCGAATACCTATCTGGGAACCAAAGCATGGACATTTTCAGAATTCCAGTGTAAAAGCCGAGTCTAAGCAATCTTACCTTTATGTCTGGGCACAAACTGTTGTTGCTAGTTAATTCTAAGATGTGTGCCTGAGCAAGGCTGAGCCCCAGGTATTCTCGTCTTTTAAGGACTCTCAAGACACTGTAAGGCTGTCTGTCCTCTTGCCATTTTCTGTTTGATCGCCTAATGTTAACTCACCTAAGACAAGATCTAACAGGTGGGGGCGTGGCTCAAATGGTAGGGCACCTACCTAGAAAGCGTGAGGCCCTGAGTTCAAATCCCAATACTACTAGAGAAAGAAAAGATGGAAACTATGTTGAATCAAAGAAAGTGTTTGAAACGCGGGTTTTCTCTGTGGCTTTGTACCCCGGGCACCCAAAAAAGAGGACGCAACCCCCGCCATCACCGCCGGGGACTCCTTTTCCATTCGCACCTTACAGCTCTGCAGCAACTGATCGCAGTACAGCGCCACCTTCTCGTCGCGCCACATGCCCCGCATGGGGGACACGCAGACGGGGGGCAGGGGCTGCGCCTCATCCTCGTCCTCCTCGGGCACGGACAGCAGGGACTCCTCTTCCTCCGGCTCGGCCTCCTCGCCCCGGCCCTCGGCCTGAGCCCCGGGCAGGAGCTGCAGCCGCCGCCGGGCCGCCTCCCGGCCCGCCTTCCCCTTCAGTGGCCGCGGCGAGGCCACCACCGAGCGCACTGGAGACGCGGCGCCCTTTAGGGTCGCCGCCGCCACGGCCCCGGGGACCTTCTCGCCTAGCCTGCCGGGGCTGATGGTGCGCCCCGAGTCCTCGGGCCCGGCGGGCCTGGACCCCGACGCCATCTCCGCGGCACCCGGAGGCTCGGCTGCAGCCGTTGGCCACAGGTCCCCGCCGGGCTAATGCGCGCGGGGCGCCCTCGGAGCCCGCAACGAGCGCGGCGGCTCGCGGGCGACGGCCGGGGCTGGACGCGGGGCGTGGGGCCCAGCGTGGGGCGCGGGCGGGGCCGGGCGCAGGCGCGGCGGGCACGGCAGGTGCGGGGGACGCGTGGGGACGCCGCCCTCGCCGCGCGGTGGCCGTGCTCTCGCCCCCCGGCCGTCGCCCCTTGGAACCCTCCGGCCGCACAATGCCCTCCCCAGGCCCGCGGCTTCTTAGATCCTCCCAGGTCCCAGGTGATTGTGAGTCACCTCCCAGGTCACCAGGGCCTGAGAGACGCGCCACTTGTCCCTCCACTCAGCGCATCTGCACAAACGCCACCGGAAAGATTTACTTTTATACGAGGAGACCGTTGAGAATGGGACCGTCCAGTTATCACTAGACAAACCTAGAGTTTCTTCCTCACCTGATCTTTTCATCGGGCTCCCCCAAATAAGATTTCCTTTACCATTTTAAACAGGACTCTCGATTTTCGTGGCCATTTCAAGAAGGGCAATAGTCTGTCTTCTGGTCTGTTGAGTTGCTCAAAATTCTCACATAAGCCACATAAGGGGTCTCACGCCTGTAATCCTACCTACTCAGGAGGCAGAGATGAGGAGGATCCTGTTTTGAGACCTGTGTGTGTGTGTGTTGCGGGGTGAATAGCTAGTGAGATCCCATCTCTAAAGTACCCAACACAAAAAAGGACTGGCGGAGTGGCTCAAGTGGTAGACTGCCCGCCTGCCTTGCAAACCCCAGTACCAGCTCCCCCCACCAAAAAAAAAGGTCTCTGATGAATGTAAGGAAATGTTATGCATTCATGTGTGTAAATGGAAAAATAAGACATGTTGAAACTACTCCAGGAATGGGAGGATGGGGGTAAAGGAGACTGATGGAGAGGGTGAATTCAACTATGATATTTTGTAAGAACTTTGGTAAATGTCACAAATGTACCCCCAGTACAATAATATAATAAAAAAGTTCTCAAAGTATTATGTAACTGCTAAATCGGATGCCAGCGGGAGTAATGGTGTGCAAACCACGAATATTTTCACAATAAAAGTCTGCTCGCGATGACATAGTTTGGAGAACCACAGAGACCATTCGTTTCTGGCATCTGACTATTTAACATGCATGAGCCAGTTGGAGTAAGGTTTGTTTTCAGTCTAGCAGTGAAATCCTGCTGGGACTGACAGCTCCAAAGGAGAAGCATTGGGAAAACACCTGCTTTCTTTCCCCATCATCTGGAAGGACACTCTGTTAAATTCTGAGATTATTTTGAGGAAAACATTACTATTGCTAGTGCGTTACTGACGTTCGGGGAATAATTACACCATGCGTCATGTTTCCGCTCTACGTTTATTCCTTTTTTCAGGAGTCCTGGACTTTTTTTTTTTTTTTTTTGAATTATGGGTAGTTTTTATTTTCTACTTTGTACTTTTTCGTTCCTAAATTTATTTTTCAGTACGTTTATGCTGATTTAATTATCAGGAAAACTATAAAGCTGGTCATCAGGAAAAAAATCCGTCCTTTTCTAAAGTTATATACCTTTGGTCCTGAGGGCATGGCAGCCATTGTCCTATTTCTAACTATCAGGAGGTTTGGTCAAAAGGTATGCCACCCCACCTCACCCCAGCACTATCTTACAGCCAGTCCTTGTGTTGGCCACTGCAAAGGGCTTCTTGATGTCTGTGGATAGGGTGATGCTCTCAAAATCCACACTGCTGCCAGGGACCAGTTACTCACCCCTGTAATCCTAGCTACTTAGGAGGCTGAGATCAGGAGGATCACAATTCAAGGCCAGCCTGGGTAAATAATTCACAAGACCCCACCTCAACCAATAAAAGCTGGGTTGTAGTGGCTTGTGCTAAGCTATCAGGAGGCTGAGATCAGGAGCACTGTGTGTTCTGGGCCAGCCTGGGCAGGGAGAAGGGGACCCATACTGGTGAGGCTGATTGATCATGGTAAAACACAATGACGAGATGTAGGCAGAATTCTTCCTGGGAACACCTGTCCAGACCCATTAAACTGGTAATGAGTGCCAATGTCTGTCACTAGTTGGTAGAGCCAACTGTTGTTGTGGATTGTATTGGTATTCTCGTCAGGGTCTCATAGTCCCCAGTGCTGTACCAGATGTGCCCATCCAGTGTTCAGTCAATCCCAAAACACATGCCACCAGGATCAGCTGGGCAGCTCCATATTCAATATAATGGTCCAGCTTATGGGCCACTCACCCAAGATGGAGCAGCTGGACAACTTTCAGAGATCCGAATGGGCTGATACCCTGGCATGTGTCCTCTTCCCCGGCACACAGCTAAACTATATTTCACAGCCTTCTTCCATCTGATGTGTTCCTGGGATGAGTTCCTCTGCCAGGCAGGAGTGCTTGTGGACCTTCCCATTCTTTTGCATGCTGGGATCCAGCTGCTGCAGGTCATCCCTGCTGCTTGTCAGTGCCCTGGTCAGCCCAGCAAACACCCCCAAGCCTGAAGCCTGCAGCCTGCAGGTACTGCTTTTTTGCATCACTTCTGCCTTGTGATAGCCAAGCAGCTTATAAAATCTACCATTGCTGTACATTATAGGCCACTCTACACCTGGGCATTCCCCAGCACAAAATTAGTATCCACAGTGGAGAGACCATCAGACATCAGCAGAGAAGTCCATGTGCTAAGAGGAATCCAATGCAGCAGCAATTCTTCACAAATCCATGAACGCCAGTGTCTCCTCCAACAGACGTGCTAGGTAGACATTAGCCTTGCAGATTCCATCTCTGTGTCCAGAGGAAACCAGTCCTGCACTTTCTTTAAAATGATACCATTATAAGTCGCATTCCGCTGGCTCACGCCTGTAATCTTAACTACTCAGGAGGCAGAGATCAGGAGGATTACGTTTTGAAGCCAGTCTGGGCAAATAGTTGGGGAGACCCTATCTTAAAAATACCTTGCGCGCGCGCGCACACACACACACACACACACACACACACACACACACATAAAGGGCTGGTGGAGTTGCTCAAGGTATAGGCCCTGAGTTCAAGTCACAATACTGAAAAAAAAAAGGTACCATTATAACTGCATAGATTTCACCCACCAAAATTAAAATCTAAGCCAGACGCCAGAGGTCATGTCAGTAATCCTAGCTACTCAGGAGGATCACAGTTGGAAGTCAGCCTGGGAAAATAGTTCATGAGACCCCATCTCAAAAAAAATCAACACAAAACAGGTTTGGTGGAGTGGCTCATGTGGTAGAGAGCCTGCCTAGCAAGTATGAGATCCTGAGTTCGAACCCCAGTGTCACCAAAAAAATTGTTTTTAATAAATTTTCAGGTTTTTAAGCTCTTTGGTTCAGAATAATAAAGATCATCCATCCTGGTCCAAAGCTCAAAAACAACAGCAATCTACCACTTTCTCCAAAAGCAAACAAATACTTCTTAGGAAACTGCTATGTGCCCATCATTGCAGATGCCGAAGTCATGAAGATAAAAGACAAATTCCTACCCTCTAATCCTAGTGAGCGTACAGATGGGTCAATACATGACTGCGTTTGGTAAGGAGTATAATTATACATTTATTTATATTTTAAGTCTACATTATGGAAGAAAAGTTCCTTTTCTCCCAGAAGTTTACTGATACTTAACCAAAGCCTTTTAAAAGGTAACTTCTATTGAATTTTATTAATAATGAAAGCAACGCCTGTACTCTGAGCCAATCTGGGAATATAAGGAGAGAATTTAAGACAGTGACAATGCCAGCACTCAGCAGTAACTGCTATTAGATTTGGGGATATGTTCTTTCAGTGTTTTTTCCTACTACATTATTACAATTTTAGACCTCAGTAAATTTTACTTTTTGTTTTATTATTTAGGATATCATCATGATGGTATTTAAATAATTAAAAATTATTTAAGCACATAATTTTTAATAGTTGCCTATAATTTATTTGAATGACTATAACTTGCATACCTTTCTATTTCCAGGTGTTTGGATTATGGTAATTTCTTAATAATAAAGATGCCATTTAGGGCACTTATGCACAAGTTTTTGCCTATAGTTCAGACTTTTTTCCCTAAGGGGAAAGCCAGATTGCAGAATCAAGATGTATTCAAAGATTGCATTGGTAATCTCAGTATTGCCAAATTGTTCCCTAAAAGTATTGGTTTCTATTTTCATCACCAGATAAAATTCCCAACTAGGTTGTTTTGAAAGAGAGGTAGGTGATAGGCACCTAAGGCAGGGGCAAAACAGGGTAAAGTAGGATGAACATTCCAGGCAGGGAAGGTCATCTTTCACCATTGTGGGTCTACAGAGGGTGAAATAACTCAGTCTAGAAGGTTGCCATGGAGTAGAGAGGGCAAGCTGGATTAAAGATTGGGTTGTCGAGACCTGCAAAAGCTGTACCACCAGAATCACATGTTATATTAATAAACTGAATCCTAGCCATATTGATGACTCTCCTTTATCCTCTCTCCCTGCTCCAGCCCTCAGAATCTATTTCCATGTAAAACATTCCCAGCTCCCTTGGGTATAGGCCTTTTCTTCCTTAGCCTGCCCAGCGTAATCCAGCCTAGCTGGATTATATTGTGTCTTAACCCTGTTTGTTAGACTGGTGGGTAGATCCTCAGAGGTGGTGCATGCGGTCTTCAGAAGCAGGTGCCTATGTGTCATCTTCAAGCATGGGGACTCTGACCTTTTTTTTCTTTTCTTTTTTTGGCAGTACTGGGGTTTGAACTCAGGGCCTCCTGCTTGCCAGGCAGGTCCTCTACCACTTGAGCCACTCCACCAGTCTTGGGGCATCTTTTTTTCTCTTATTCTAGGATCTTACCAATTATCCTACCTGGTTCATGCTGGTTTCTTCACCTGGTATGCCTGCCTGCTTGCCAACACCTGTTAAAGTTCTTCTAGGCCAGGTTCTAATACATGACCCTAGTTAAAACTAACCTTCCCCTCCTCTGTGTTCTCAGAGTACTTCCTGCACTGGAAACATTACAAGTGCAGAGACAATGACAGTCATATCTTTTATATCCAATATTTAACAGGAAGCTTGGCATCTAACTAGTGAAAGTTTTAAGAATTGCACAATTTTAGGGAGAGCACAATTTTTTTCCAAGTTTTGAGCTGAAATGGGTGTCTGTCCTCCCCACCAGTTTGTTACCCCTTGACAGCTGGATGAGGCTCTGTTCATCTTTATATTCACTAAAGAGCTTATTTTAGCACA